CACAAGATCACATTATTATGGGTAAAGAACACTTCAACAGCGTGCATGGACATACAATTTGGAAGTCGTTAATCCTGACATGCACCACTCCCCTAGTTCCTTCCTCTTCAAATTTAATCGGCAAAGGTCTGCTAGATTCCATTACATACACACACACACACACACACGCACGCACTCTGAAGCCTATAATAAAAGTGAAATAGCTAGTCAAAAAAAATTATACCATGAAAACTTCTTTTCATAACTTCATTATCATCAAATCCACTACTTTCCTGTGCTTCATACACTTAAATTCTGAATTAAAGAACGCTTTATAGAAGTGGAGAGGCTTACAAAATTATTTTAGCATTCCTGTAACAATAGAAAGGTGTTGTGTATTTGCAATTCTTTTGACTTCTAAGACCATGTCGTGGGAACTCAGACACAGTTCTCAGATATCAGAGTGAAAAACTTATTAATCTCAATAAAAGAAGATAAATTGCTCTCCAAACCAAACTTTCTAAAGTTGATTTACTAATGGCAAAGATTCCTATTTTTTACCTGCCTTTTAGAGCATTTATGCTAAAATTATTGCTACCCTCATAGCTAATAATTTTGGGCATTTGGTGTCAAATTGGATTAAAAAAATAAATCATTTTTGCTGCTCTTATGCCAAATTTGACTGTCGCTTTTTATTGGAACATCAAAAGCAGGCTTTTAATTCTCACAGTTTTGATGCTTAATGAAAAGTGAAAGTTAAACACAGCATGGCAGCATTAAAAATGCATGGTAAATCCATAGCACCCTGACATCTTAGCCCTGCAGAGGATGTGAAGAAAAGCCATTGTAAACAAAAGATAATACTACTAAATACAAAGCAAATTAATTAGATGGCCTGACAGACTCTTAAACAAAGAAAAAATGGAGGGAGAACATATGTACAACTATCTTCCAACAAAGATATCACAAGGGCCTGTCAGCAGCACAGCCATATATGGAATTCAAGTTTATGTCTTCATTTTCAGACTTTATTCTTAAATATCTGGAATTGGAGACACCAGTAAACTAGCATAGTCAAGAACTTGGACAAAAAAAGGGGTTTTACATCCCCCACTGTATGTACCTCACAGCCTAGATGGCAGGGACTTACTCCTCTGAACAACCTATGTCATGAACTACAGATCACTTTTTGTTTTGACCACTGATTTTTATCAGTCACACTGCCTTCACTAAACCCAAATTTAACCAGATTAAGAATTTTCTTATAGCCAGAAAAATTCTCTAACTTCCCCTGCATCATTCACCTTCCTAAAGGTGCATGGATCTCTGGACTGTAAGTTCATCAGTAGTATTTAAGATTGCTTATTTTTCTCCCTACAGTTTTCTATGAATTAAGCTTCCCATCCAAAAAAAAAAAAAAAACAAAACAAAAAGTAAAATAAAATATTTTACTATTTTAATACATCTTTAGTACTAAAAAGAGAGAGCACCACTGCTACTGTTGACAATACATGGAATATTTTTGTTCATATATTCTATACCATGTTTGTGCACAAATGGGTAACTAGCAAGCTAAAACAACACTTCAATTGTACTTTACCAGTTAGTCTTCAAGAAACAATGATGTGTCTCACAACACACTCCTGATGATAATATCAGGTTTTAACTCTCTATTTTGCTTTCTTTTACACACCCCTTCACCTAATTCAAAACTTTATATTAACAACACATCTTTGTGTTATGAAGAGAAGCTTGTACACATGCTTCATGACAATCAAAAAAGAAACATATAGCTGCAGTGAGCGTAACACTGTAGTGGAACTCAAGCATTTGGATCATGGGGCAATGCCAGGAAAAAATTATCAGAAAACTCTCTCCTGCCCCTGACCAAGTTTCTAAGGACAGCAGAGTTCCGAAGAGTTGAGCATCTCAGCATAGATTCCTGCATAATTTATATGCCATGTATGCTAGCCAGGGTAAAGAAGTAACTAGGGCTATGCTAGAAGAGGCAGCAGTCCCCACTCCTTTAATCCTGGAGTGCTGGGATAACAGTTGCCTCTTAAGCCCATGGGATGCTGATTGGCTGGTGACTTGAAGTGAAAAAACGAAAAATATGTTTCTTTTGAAAACCAAAAATATAGATGGAATTTTCCTCTTCTAAAGCTAATACTAATTTTAGTAGAATTCATGTAATAAAATAAGATTCAAACCTTTTAATGTAACAGGGTAATGGATGGTAAGATAGAAACTTAAAATAAAACAACCCTTCTTTGCTTTATCATAGGGCCATCATCTATTTTGAAGAGGTCAGTACAGGAGACTGCCAAATGTGCATTAACACTTATGGAATGCAAGTATAAGAGCAGTGCTTCAAACTGATTAGAAGATATCTGTGTCCAAAAAGACAGTTTTTGGAAAGTTTCACTGCAATTTAGCTAAGAAGCTGATTTACTTTTCCATAAATGTTCCTACAACTGTTTAGATTTTTACTGTTTACAGTACATTTAACTTAATTTAAATAATATAATGGAAGTGATTGGGTGATTTTTTAAACGAGGGGTTAGAGTGCTCTGAGGCACCTCTACAAAAGCAGATGAACTGGAATTCAGTAGTTTTTCTTCTTGCAAAATAAGCACAGACAGATGGAAACTTTTAAGAATGCACGCCCCAACTTAAAGAATCGCTTAACCACTGGGTATATGAAACTAGCATTTTCAATATGCTGTCCTGATTGGAATCTATTTCTTTGAGAATTAGAGATATGAAGGTTCCCACAAGAAACCTAGAAGAAAGTGAGATGTTTCTGGAGTGAACTAATCCATCAGTTCTATTAACATACAGAGAAGGTTACTGAAATTGATCTTATATTTTCACAGCTTGTCCTGAGGGGCCTTTTTAAGCAGACCTATTTGTTACGTAAGACCTATTGTAAAAAGCTTAAGAAGTGCAAGCATCTGTCTTTCCTCCCATGGAAACTGAGGAATAGGAACATTATAGCATCAGCTTTCTTAAAAGTTACTCTAGAATATCTGTTTAAGGCCATCAGCAAAATTTGCACAAAACCAACAGAAAAGTTTCCTTAAAAAGGACAGACAAGCATCCAACTTAGTTTTACTACTTCTGTCTATCTATACAAATAATCACATCTTCACATACATTAGTTTTTCCTTACTCTTAAAATGTTATTGTGGCACGATAAATATGTTTCTACTTTATATAATCTTCATATGAGATTGTATATTGCCTTTTAGATCTGACAGTCTCTCCCAGGCAGCTAGATTTAGAAGTACCTATTAAAACTTTAAACAGCAATGGTTGAAATAAATGATCCTTCCTTGAAAACAAAGATAATCTTTGTGTCGATAGCCTCGTGTTTCCAGATCAAACCTCGCTATGGCTTTCTCACTCCCCCTTCCTGTCCTATGCCTCACAACATATAGGTGCCTCTTGCAGCACCTGTATCTGTGGCTGTTTTCTCACTCTCCGCTTCTCCAGGTGACAGGTGAGCTCAATACAGCACTGAACAGCGACACAGCAGAACAGATTGAGATTTCTCTAAAGCTAAGGCATTTCTGGAATAAGAGTCACTCAGTCCAGTGGTGCTCAGACAAAAATGTTGTGGGTGTTGTAATAGCACTGTGCGTGGAGGCCCAGTAATTCTGCAGTACATAATTCTAGTGAATTAACTGTACATATACCCAAAATTTTGCTGTGAGTTTCATTACACATGCGTGTGTTCATGTTAATAAGAAAGAGGAATAAGAAAAGATCTTTCACTATGATTACCAATAATAACAGTATCGCATATAATGGCTTCTATAAAAGCAAGCAAGAAAAAAAAGTTAAGCCAATATTTTACTGCAGAACAACTCTGCAGACTTGCTCTTGCATTTTCATAAATATCATTTGCTAAAAAGTGATTTTCTCAAAGAATAATGAACAGTTCTTGTGTTTTCTCTCCAATGGTGTTGCCTTGAGAATGTTTTTCTCATTTTAACCCTGTGAACTCAACTGCAAAATCTCCAACACTCTGCCTAAAACACCATGCATGTAGTTGAGGGGTACTGCACTAGGGACAATGTATTATGCCAATTGTATAGGACAGAATGCCACATTTACAGAGCTATCCTGCTTCCAAAACCAAACTAGTTCACCTGGACATATTGCACAGCACTGAGTTGTTCCAGATTCCTGAATTTCAAACTTAAACAAGCATGTTACTGAATGCACGAGGAACCACTCTCTCACATAAAAGGTACTGTTTTTACACAAGAACTTTTCAGAGTATAATCACTTTGAGTTCAAGCTGTGGGTACAAAGCACATACAACACTGGGCAGACAAATATTATCAAAAGCTCAAAATGCAAAATAAAGCAACGCATTACCGTTTTTATCCATGGAATGTGGCTCAGACTGCTTCTTTCCAATATCAGCAAAGGATCTCACAATTGGGATCCTGTTGCTCAGTTTCTTCTGGTTCTGATGGTGATGCTGTTTCAGTAACGCCTCGTGCACTCTGTGACGAACATCCTCACTGAGCTGCCCAGAGCCCACCTGCTGATCCAGAATCATATCTGAACAAAAAATACATAAACATAATAAGAGAGGGGAAAGAAGAAAAACTTTGCTTAAAGATGTTGCAATAACAATAATTGCCCTATGGGATTACCAGTGAAAGGTATCTGTTTGTTTAATGTGACAAGTATTAAAGCATGGTAAGTTTTATCTAGAAGTGTTCCACTCCCATAAATTAATGAATAGATAAATAAATGATGGTATTGATGTAACAAAGTCAATTCCTTGCAAGTTATGTCGTTCCCATACTAAGGTCACCTATATAACTCTGAAGAGTTATAAGCATTCCCATAGACAATGTATTTAAACCCAAGGTTATGATGTATATAAAGTGCCTCTCCACCACCCCCACAACCAATACCTTATGTGCTACAAAGGACCGGCTTACTGTGAGGAGAAAACTTTTTGGTTCCTTTTATACTTACCACAGAAGATTACAGTCTAGTTCTGTTCAGTTACAGAACTTTCAATACAATTAAAAAATATATATGCAGTCAAGATTCCCGCATTTGGGGAAATCGCAGGGCTCAGCACACCCAGAGTGCAGGGAATGAGCCTCGCTCTGGGAAAACCACCTGCCTGATCATGGTATCTCCCCTGAGGTAAGATGATATGGGAAAATTTGAAGCATTACTGGGAAATAACTAATAGGATCTCTTTCTACTGCCCGATGCCTATGTTCATGCAAGAGAATCATTACATGGATGTGTCAGTCAAGCTGATTCTGCTGCTAAAATAATCAGTCATTTTTGCAGTCCACTGACAGAAAATATTAACATATTCACATTCAAAACTCCTGATAAATATGCATTACACACTTTGAATAGGAAAGAATTGTTGAGAATTTTGTAGGGCCATTTTATCATTGTTTTGGGAAATTCTATTAGCAATTAGTAATAATGCTTAACAGAAGGAAAGGGAAAAAAAGAAAAATCTGTATCAAAGCAAGTAAAACAGCATTGAAGTACACAATGTCCTTGCACATTCATTAGAATAAACTGTGCTGCACAAAAACAGTGATAAAATAAAGCTGAGTCAAAAACTTCTTGTACTGAAAATTCAGAGAGCTCATGATTCTGTGCTGGAGTCAGATTCATATCTACCAGTAAAATCAGTGGCAAAGCAAGCAGAACAGAAAAAATAAAACACAGATGCACCATCACTAGAGAAATAATGTCAGGTCTCTGATAATTGCCAAGAGCACAATTGAGAATATAAAGCATTAAATAATTATACTAGTTAAATGCAGGGTTTAATTGCTAAAACAACTACCCCCTGTATACACATTAAAAAAAAAAAAAACAAAAAAAACAACAACCATTTTTCTGAAGTTCTCAGTATCCCCATAACAATCCAATGTGTCACACGTTGCTACTTTAAGAACTGAACTCTAACTGCACGTTTCACTTAACATGAAGGGGCTACCAACAGCTCTATGACAACACACAAAAAGACGTGACTAGGTCCATAGACAAATACAGCTGTCAACAGATGCAAACATGAGAGATGTATCTGCATCTCACCATGTAGAGCAGTGCAGAGCTTTCCAACATTGGCTCTGACCCTCTCCAGCAATTACATTCTGCCCAGTGTTAGCAACTGTGCTCACCAAGCAGCTCATGCCCAGAAGTAACACTGCCTGGTGCTGTGCCTAAACTAATACAGCTTATTTTTGGACTGCTTCACCTGTCTCTAAAGGTAACTTTTATCTCCAGGGTTAACTCAAATGCCACCAGGTCAGGTATCTCTGCACCCCCAGACAAGACAAACACATTTTTACCATTACTCTAGACTGCCACAGAAAAGAGAGAAAACTACAATAACAAGAGAGTGACAGGCAAAAGAGAAGGTAACATGAGTTCAAGAGAATGCCTTCAGTAGTGTTTTTTTTTTTGCAGAAGGAGGCAAGAATAAGGACAGATTTGCAACACAAGAAAAAAAGCACCATCTCCAAGAAAGATATCCATTTTCTTGCTCAACTTTATGACTTTTTGGGAAACAGCCTCTGCCTTGAAGTTAAGAATATCTTCCCTTTTAGACAGGCATAGTACACGAACTGGCATATCACACTTCCCAAAACAGGCCAGTAATTTCTGTAATGTGAGAGCTAGGCCATCTTCACAGGAAAAAAAGTAAGTAATAATCATATAACTTAGGGCATAAATGCTAAAGCACAATTGAAAAGATCCTTTTTAATTCTGCTGACCAAAATACAAATTGTAAAAAGATGCATAAACAAGTATTACCTTCTTTGAGTTGCTCTAAAATAGAAATCAAAAGGAAGAGCTGAAAAAAAGGACTTCTCTAGAACAGTCAAATTTACGGTTGTGGTCATCATCGTTCTTACAGATCAGTGGAACTCCACTTGTATTGTGTCATTCCTGGAATTGCAGTATTTTCCATATTAAATATTGATATATATTAATTTCTGAGGCTGATGTCACTATATAAGATTTGCCACTTGAGGAGAGAAAATGCCAGGAAAAAGAAAATCACTCTCCTCTTCCTTGCGTGGATGCTCTGCCAGACTCACTAACAGTCACACAAACCATGGAGGGAGGTAGTGTTGTATGCCAGTGTGGTGACTAACAACTTGTATTTCCTTCCAAACTGAGAAGAAAGTGGCTTACCTCAAGTTTTCTTCTTTTTTTTTTTTTTTTCACAACTTCCCCTTTACTATAGCATGTCTGACACATGCAAAAAATGGGAGATGAATTCAGAATTGGGAACAGTGAAGGCTACTTTTCTTACCTTGATACTCCCAAGTTGTTATTCCTTTAAATACAAATCTATTTGCAATAGCAGCTATAGTTTTAGTGTAAATTATTGCCAGATTGCTGTATTTTAACTTGAACAGATTCAAATAGTAATAAGAAGACTGACTCCATTAACACCTACCATTATAGGATTTCACTTCAGTTTCTTCACAAGTTTTTCAATATATCCTTTAAAAACCCTAGCCTCTGCAATGTCAATGATAACTCTCTTGAATACAAAGCTAAGCTTGAAAACACGGGCCACAAAGTTTAAGATCTGAGAGTAAATGTTAAAAAAGAATGTTTTTAACATTCCATTTTCAAAATAGACACTAATTCCTAGCGTCTATTACTAATTCCCCTGCTTTCCAAAGTTGTGGTTTTGCACTTTTGTATCTAGAGCACATGACCATTTCTCATATAACAAAAAAAAAAAAAAAAAAAAGAGAGAGAGAGAGAGAGAGAGAGAGAGAGAGAGAGAAAAGAGAACAGACCTATAGCTTTGCAGCAATGTATCTCAGCTATATACTTATGTAACAGCAAAGACTCTCCAGGGTTTCTGTGCTGAGCAACAAGGTATGGGCATTTTTTTCTTTTAATTTAAAAGAACATTCACGAGAAAAAATCTTGGTGAGCCCTTCTATCCAGGGATACAGATCACCATAATGTTTTTCAAGGTTGTTTCACAACCATAAGCAACTTTCAACATGACAATGTGTGGAATATCCAGCAATATAGCTTTACCCAACCTAATTGCTCCTATCATACAATTTCTTCTGACATTAGGAACACTAAAACAGAATGTTTCTTCAGTAAGGAATCTGGACTTATAAGGAACTGTGATATATATTTCTTAGGCTTTTAAAGACAGATACTCTTCCTGCCCTAGTCACTTAAAAAGATTCAAAGGAACTTGAGGTTTCATGTAATTTCAAAAATGCTTTCTCCATTCAGACTCCATTACAATACATTATTTACATAAAACGTACCCATCTGAAAATTGATTTTGAAAGCAAATGTGAGTACTTAATGTGAGCACCTAAACAACATATTTTTCTAACTCAAATGTAACTCCTCATCATCCGTGAACAATTTACCCAGACTGCAAATTAATGCATCAGGGGTGCAGACACTTCAAATTAGTTCAAATACAGCGTGGCTCACGTCTGTAACCTCAGCACAGCAAACCATATCTACCCCACCCCTAGGGTCAGCTAGGATGTAAAAGTAGGTTGGCTTCTTTCACTCACTGTGGAGATGACTAGTACATACCACAGTTTCATTATGGGTGCTGTACAGAGACACACAGCCAGATTCATGTGGAACCATCCCAGGTCCAAACAAATAAGAGAAGTTAAGAGAACACTCAAGTGACACCTCTCTCCCTGCTGCTCAAGGTTCACAGCATGTCCATCACATCGTGCATATACTACAGGGAACTCTGAGGTGAAACACAATAAATTTATATAAGGAGTATTGCATTTGTAACAAAATACCTCTGAGGTATTTTGTTACAAGTAGCAAAGTTACAAGTAGCATCTGACAGACAGATAAGCTAAACTGGGCCTGTTTTCTGCAGTGGCGAGTAAATAAACAAGATCTGGAGCTCTTACTTTTGAGCTGTATACCAGAGAAAATACAAGTTCAGAATTCATGGGCCCGATATATCCTGATATTCTCCTGATATAGGTTGGCATTCACAGTTTACAGCAGGAGAAACTGAACTCAACATTCTCCAGTGAGGTTACTGGTATTTACACCTCTCAATCTTCCAAATTTTATAACTGCAATTGCAGGACAAAATGAGAGATTAATGATAAAAGAATAGTACACATGGGCTTTTCTGTGCGTCATGACTGCAGTGACAGCTGACTACAAAACCTAATTTAAAATCCAAGGTTTTTTTTTCAGTTGTTCTTTCCCTTATAGATAGGGGAGAGGAAACACAAGCAACCATAAAGCAGTGTTTTATGCAGGACATGAAGCTGAAATGCTGGTTTTTATACTAACCTGCAACCTAATACATATGTTTACCTAGTGAGTTAGGCTCTAGGAGCAATAGAAAACTAACAATTGGGATTCTTGGTTCTGGTGTTTACAAGGGTGATTAGATGTGAGCTATCTAAGCCAGTGCATTTAACCTGTTCAGCTAAGGAAGCAGCATGTTCCAGTGCACTGAGTGCCAGGTTCTATTTTCAACTCTACCTGAAATTACATGTACTTTGTTCAACTTCTCAACTCAACTACTTGAAAAGTTACACAGACAGTGAAAAATGTCTGCTTTTCAAACAAAGAGTCTGCAATTTTACTGAAGAACAAAGGCTAGCATGTTCACAAAACTGTAAACAGTAGACTAGGCTAATATTCCCGACTCGCATCTTAGAGAGCAAGCACTGCTGTAACCCAGAACTATCCTAACACAATGGATGCTACCAAAAGAACAATGGAAGCCTCGTAAAACAAGATATTTTGCATCTCTGTGTAGAGCGTGAGTCATGAGTGACATTGGTTCTGTCTATACACACAATGAAAAATGAAATTGACTTGTGAAACATTCCCACATTTGCGGTTAACATGGGAAAACACAAAAAAAAAAAAAGCCATGCAACTTAGATGTTGGTAAGAGCTTTACAGTTCACCCACAGACAAAGGAATAAAACCTGACAAAGGTTTCTCTGTAGAGGTAATCACAACATGGTAAACTGTAAATAAAGCAAACACAAACACCTGTGTAAAGTGAGAAGGTGAAAGCTCAACAAAAGAGAGGTGGAGGGTCAAACTGAAAGAAACAGACTGCTCACAGGCAATCCTCTGCTTTGTTATTGTGTTTGCAATAAAAGCTAAGTTTACCATA